CAGAGAATTCTTTACTAATGCGCAGCATCAAATAGCCAATCTTAATAACTATGTACAGCAACTAGACCTCTTCTTTATTTTTTAGTGATTTCTTTGATTGGATGGGCTGTGAGCCAAGCAGTTTATAGCCTCATATCTGCTATAGTTTAATTTCAATAATATATCAAGTTTCAGTGTTTGATGATATATAGCAACATCCTACTAAGTTGAGAAAGAAATATTGCCTTGGCAAGTGTATTTGCTGACAGTGGGGCGATAACCATGACATCCGCCCACTTCCGTAACTCAATATGCAGTACGTTGTCACCAATCTTTTTCCAGCTGGACCATTCATCGTCATCAATGTAGAGAGTTACATCCCTTGGAAGTGAGGATTTGTCTATAAAATGCAAGGATGACTTGGTGGCTACTGCTTTCACTTCGGCCCAATCACAGAAACTACGGCAAAGACTCTCAAACTTGATAGCTGCAACACTCCCAGAAGCAGCCAAGAGGATCCGTGGCTTAGCAGGCTGCCTATTTCCATGCACCAGGTTTTCTGGCATCTGCTCCATATTAGCCATTGCTCTCTACAGTGCACTAGCATAATCAAGTAGACCATTATGAATAAGATAATTGTGAGTAGATTGCCATAGATCACAAACAGGACATATAGCATCAACAAACACCATCACTTTGGCACAAACATCAGTAAAGTGCCGAGCCAAACATGCATATTCCTATACAGTCAATTTGCTCCCAACAATCAACAAGTAAATGTTTATGCCCTTAAAAGGCGCCTAAAGAAGCATAACTATGGCACTCGGGATTAGAACTACAATTCACATAAGCTCATCTTTACAGGATTACAGTTGAAGAATAAACATGACAGTTTCTCCTTAGATAGAAATGTCATATATGGTAAGACTTTCCTGGTATGCCATCATTATATCATTCAGACTGAACTCTTGTCTATAGTTTTTTCTTTCCAAGATTTACAGTATAGATAGAGCCGTTATGGCCCATAATAACTTAAATGGGAAGTCGTTCTCATTTTCTTAAATTTAATGAGGGTCTGTGTCACAAAATAAGGGGATCTGACCCATTTGTGAATAAATTACTAAAATTACACAATAAACTTTATTGCGCTAAGTTATGTTCTTTAACTAACTTATATGCGGATGGAACCAGCATATTCCTTAGAAATTCTAGCTCTCTCAAGTACATTTCGGGTTTTGACTCATATTAACCTGGGCTTTAAATGAAAGAAGGAAAATAAATTAGAAGGGGGTACGCTTCATGGAAGAAAGTTGATAACTTGATATCCTAAAAGACGAAACATTGTTAACGGAGCATGTTGATATCAGTTGTAAGCTCAGGTCAAGCCTTAATGACAAAGTCGCCTATATGAAAGTTGTACATCTCGTCCGTAAGATAATTGTTGAAGAAGTACTATAGTAGGTTCAATGACAATGTGTGACTCATGATAAATTACTTTGAATTAACTTATGTCTCAATGCTGACCAACAAATTGCAAAAGTTAGGCACAAAAATGGCAGAAAACTCAATTTTATACTTCAAAATGGGATTAAACCTGCTGGTAGATTTTGAATTAACTTATGTCTCAATGCCTATATGAAAGTTGGGACAAATTTCAATCAGTTCCTTAAGAACCATCACAAACCCCAACATGTGATCAATAAACATTAGATTTTGGAATTTTGATATCCTAACCCATGGCTCCGCATAATTCATTCATAAATTGTACAAATAAGAAAATCAGACCAAGAGGAAGAGGTACAATAAATTTCGAATTCTTCTTGCATCTATTAAACACCCCCTGACGCCCCCAAACATTTCCCGACTAGGTAAAAAGATAACCAAATCTTGGTAAAAAAAGAAGTGAAGTTTTTGTCCGAAGAAGGAAATAAAAGGACTACCTTTGAAGAGAGGAGGAACGAGAACAGGCGGGAAGCGCTGCAGATTCGCCGGATACCACCGCCGTCGACGCCCCTAGCCGGCGGCGGCTACGAGAGAGGGAGAGGAGGAGGAAATTAGGGCTTTTGATGGCGGGACTTATGGCTTCACAGTTTCTTATGAGAGTGAATTTCGCAAAATTACCCTGAAGTTTGGGAAGATTGGTCAAAAACCCTCCTAAATTTAACAATTACAGAAAAAACCTTGAACTTTAGGGCACCTTGCCAACTTAAAAGTTCCACTTAAACCTTTCTGGGATTTATTTGTTGGGATGGTATCTTTGATTCTTTGTATAAACCGCCGTCGACGCCCCTAGCCGGCGGCGGCTACGAGAGAGGGAGAGGAGGAGGAAATTAGGGCTTTTGATGGCGGGACTTATGGCTTCACAGTTTCTTATGAGAGTGAATTTCGCAAAATTACCCTGAAGTTTGGGAAGATTGGTCAAAAACCCTCCTAAATTTAACAATTACAGAAAAAACCTTGAACTTTAGGGCACCTTGCCAACTTAAAAGTTCCACTTAAACCTTTCTGGGATTTATTTGTTGGGATGGTATCTTTGATTCTTTGTATAACTTCATAAGAATTAGATAGGGTTAGAGACCTACATAATTAGGGGATTGGGTCTTATCATGATTAGGAGTTTGAATCTATTCTAATTAGAAGGTTACGCTAGAAATAGGGTTTGGGTTTTCCTATATATATATTCTTCTATTGTTAGAGGAAAAACTAAGGAGAGGAGATATAGCCAATATTCTTGTAATTTAGGGTTAGCAGAGGGTGTATAACCTAATTCAAGAATATTGTGTGAGAGGTGAGAGTTTCGTAGTATTTGTCCGTACAAAAGATTACAATATTAGGAGAGGGTTTCACAGTCTTTGTCAACTCAAAAGATTGTAAGGAGTGAGGAATATGAGAGTTGCTTATGTATATGAGGTTGAGAGATTAAGAGACAAATGTTGAATGGTTCCTCCTGTAGTTTTCCCTGATACATAATAGATTTATTATATTATTGCCTCGTGGATGTAGGTTGAAGTTGGTCGACCGAACCATGTAAATCTCAGTGTTCTTTCTTCTTTATTGCGGTTGTTTTCTATCTTATTGATTGTAGGTTGGCTTCCGAGTTGCGGAGATGGTAGTGCATGGAGGAGAGACTAAATTCCCTAACATTATTGAGAAAGAAAATAGAGGAGAATGGGAAAAGTATAAAGGTGGAATTTTTCTTACCGCTTCGCCAAGAGGGGATATTTTATTTAAAAAACAATTTTAGTTTTTGGAAATGTTCGAATTGAAGAAGAACCAGTAAGATCAAGAAATATATAAACCATGTGACAGAGAAAAACTTTACATAACACAAAATTTCTCAAATCATAGTACATTAATGCCTTTGATATATCATCGAAGTTGATCTCAGCACACCAATATAAGGTCAAAAAAAAAAAAGACAAATCTGACTAATACATTTCAAACATATCGATACAAATTAAGATAATCTACTTATACCCATATTTCACCAAAAAATTGAAAAATACATCTAATATTCATGTTTTCGATCATCCAGCAATATTATGTGAGCTCAACTCTCAGTTGAATCATGGTGTACTACCATCTATTCTTTCACAGTGTCAGAGCAATTTTGCTAAAGGGGTAGGGTGACAGCATTGATCGCAAACCGGTGGATGTTTCTGAATATTACAGTAGCAGCAAGCCGCTTTGCAGTTATTATTGCAACCTAAAAGAAAATTCATAGTGAAATTTAAAATGCAGAAACTGAAATATATAAAACTTATCGACTAGTATATATTATTTCAATTGAAGCTTTTGAAATTTGATGAAGAGTTTGGTATTTAATTCCAGAAAATGACTGATCAGTAATTAAGAAATTTTAGTGTTTTAGATATCTCATCTTAGATATTTGATTTCAATTTAGGCTCTGGTATTTGATTCCAGAGTTGAATTTAGCAAGAGCTTATTTGATTTCCACTGAGGTTGGTACTTAGAACCCATAATACAAGCCATAGCTCAACAAAGAGAAAGGTGCAATTCAGCAGACAGCAAAATATATTTCCTACTGATAAAAGCAATAGCAAAACCAACAGTGCATCTAGCCATTTGGTTTGAAGTTTATGATCCAACAAATAAAATGAAATGAGCAAATACATTTTTACACATTCAAGTTCAAAAGGTATTACCAACCCGATTAATCATAATAACAGCTGAAAGGGAACAGCATCTGTAACGTTATTACAAAATTGCAGAATGTTGAAGAGGGAATACAAATGGGATGCACTCTAGAACTTTTATTGCCCACACCGACGGTTTAGTAAGTTGAGTGCAGACACACAAAAAAAAATATCAGGAACACAGATAATAGTAAGAATTCAAGATCTTTAACTCCATCTGTGTTTGGTTACTGAAGCTGGAGCTTTTTGATGGCATCGATTTGTTTAGCAGGATTCAGTCCTTTGGGGCAGGCGGCGACACAATTCTTGATAGTGTGGCATCGGTAAAGCTTGAATTCGTCATTTATAGCCTCCAGACGCTCTTTGGTATATTGGTCCCGGCTGTCCTGAATCCACCTGAAAAACAACCAGCATAATTTATAACTTAAAAACCTAATAATGCGTGGTCCTTTAATCTCATGTAATAATGCGATATATACTCCTTATCATTCATTTTCATATATTAACATATATGCACAAAAGTTTTGCTTATCAAGTCATAATATTTTTTTTATCTAAAGAAAAGGTTGACTGAAACCTAATTTGTCTTCCCTTAGCTTCATTTTTAACTTCAGGCTGATTGCTTAACCATAGCTTCTTTCCAATGTTCAGTCATAATCATCACAACCACTGCCTTTGAAAGCAGTAACGTTATCAATCCTCCCTATTATTCTCTTTCCTGTTCTTGCTTCACATCCAACCTACTGTGTTGATACTTCTCTTATTTTCTTTCATTCTCTCGGACGCAGACCTATTGTTTGTTTTGCCCTTAATTCTTCTTTCTTCTTCAAACCTTCCTTTTTCCTCTCTGTTCTTTTTTGTAGCTATTGTTATTTTTTAGTCCTTGCTTTCGTTCAATGCTCGACTTGCATATCCAAACATAACGCTTCATCTCCCCAACCCCACCCACCCCCCCCCAAAAAAAAAAAAAAAAAAAAAAACTAAACAAAACAAAAAAACACCTTTTCACTCTCTCCTCCTTTTACCCACTTCTTGCATCTTCTCATTATTTCTCTTTTATATTTTTTTCTCCTTTATACATTATATTTTACTTTTTCTTGTCTTCTGTTAGACCATTAAATATTGGTACCTCTCCTCTCTTACTATTTTTTTTCTGGCCACCTCATATTAATGCTTTCCCACTCAAAATTATCATGCAAGTTCTAGAGTTACAAGGTGTTTTCAAAGTGGATAGGAGCTTACTGTCTTTCAACAAGCCATAGAGCTGCTACTCGGTTGCTCTGATATTGTGTCACTAAGTCATTAGCAAATGATGTGTGAATGCAGAAATAAAAAGTAAAAGAAGTCAAAAGTTCCAAAACCAGAAGTCAGGAAAGGATATTAAATAAACAATGGAAGTGGGAATAAAGAAGCCATGAACTGGGCTTATTGATGTCCTTTCTTTTATAGATTAATAGGGAAACCAGTTCAAACAGAAAGATAATCATACTACAAACACAATACAATTCTTGTTGCCTGACAATCAAAAGCTAGGAGAAGAAGAGTTGAATTTTGAGTAGAATTCGATGATATGGGGGAATTGGTTTCTGCGTCACCATTTTAATGAAAGAATATATCGAATAGGAAGGATCAAGTTGTTCAGGAGGTAAGGAGGTATGGAAAAAGATACAAAGCCATTCTTAAATTTCTAAAACATAGAAAAAGAAAAAGAAAGGGTGCATGGGCCTCTGGTTGTTCCTGTACTAGTATTTGCTAGAAGAGAATTTTAAAGGAAGGGCAAAGCACAGGAAAGGGAAGAGAATAATCTTATCTTTGTTTAAATTTTTGAGGAAGGTAAGCACTAAACAGAAAATATGTTGAGGGAATAACAAGCTAAAACCTATGAATTTTGACGCATAGATTATGCTCCCATGGGGCAAATTTTACGTTCTTGTATTACTGGCTAGAAGAAAATTTGAAAGCAATACCAAAGCAAACACAATAGAAGTTGCAGTTCTTTCACAAGATGGAAAATAGCACAGGCTACAGCAAAATGCAAATATATCTCTATATGGGGTGAAAAAGTAAGATGTCACTGACATAAAATTTGTAAGTTGTCAAAAGCATGCACTTAAAAACAAAAGGACAACAGGATTTACCGAAGGTTTCTCCATACGCTCAAAGAACATCCAGATAATCACAGTTATAGCTAAGTCAGCTCTTAAATAAATAATTAGTAATATATTTCATCATAGCTCTAGCATAGCTACCCCATTGTCTAAAACATCAAACCAAGTCACCTATATGAAGGTTATCTAACAATTGATTCACAGGCTTACTCATCTCATAAACCCTCTACTCATATCATACTCGTCTGGATCAATGGATTTACTATAAAAAGAACGAGCCCCTCTCATCACTTGGTGTCAACGAATCATAAAAAATACTGATCCCCAATTCATTTCAAACAACCCTAACTATCCAAATTTCCATCCTACAAATAATCCCAATAGAACCAGCGTCATAAGACATCACAACCCCCAAACCTATGACTACTAGATCATGTCACCACCCAAAACACTCCAAATTCCAGCATCTGATCCAAGCACTATAACCACAAACTCACTCGCAAAAGCTTCCAATATATTCAACACTCGAATATATCCGCTGCAACATGAAGTATCAACATATACAAAATCACACGGTAAGGAAGATCTAATCATTAAGCTATCAATCACCAGAATCTAAACAAGCCCCATTGCCTACTTCCAAAATCTAAACACATGTTAACAAAGATCTAATCTTTAAGCTACCAAATCTACCAATAACCAAAACACAAAAAAAAAAACCATTACCTATTGGCATGAAGCAGCGCCGCCGGCCCGAGATAACTCTCGGGGTTCCACCAATAGCTCGGGCACGAAGTACTACAGCAAGCGCACAAGATGCACTCGTACATCCCGTCCAGCTTGGCCCGGTCCTTCTTACTCTGCAGGACCTCCTTGCCGCCCTCGGCTGGCTCCTTCCTCTTCAGCCAGGGCTCCACGCTCTTGTACTGGTTGTAGAAGTTGGTCATGTCGACCACGAGATCCTTGACCACGTACATGTGGGGCAGCGGCGCGATGGTGGAGGCGGCCGGGGAGTCCGCCTTGATCTTGGTGAGGCAGGGCGGAGGCGCGGTTGTCGCCGTCGGATGTTCATGGCGCAGGAGCCGCAGATGCCCTCGCGGCAGGAGCGGCGGAAGGTGAGGGCCGGGGTCGGCCTCGTTCTTGATCTTGATGAGGGCGTCGAGGACCATCGGCCGCAAGTCGTTGAGGTCCACGTGGTAGTCGCCGGAGCTGGGCTTCGAGGGGAGCTAGGGTTCCAGCGGTAGATTCGAGAAGGTCTTGAGGCGCTGGGGTTTGGACTGGGCCGAGTCGGGCTGGGACGAGTGGGTCTGGGAGAGGAGGAGGCGGGAGGTGTGGAGGCGCCGCGGGCGGGAGGGGCGCGGAGGCCGGAGGAGGCGCGCGGAGGAGAGCGCGGGCGGTGGGCCATTAGGGTTTGATCGGAGAGGATCGTGGATCGGGGATTTTGGCAGGAGGGGGCGTCGGGGAGTATATAAACGGGGGTGCGGTGAGGGTACCGGGGTGGTGAGCGGAGTCGGGAGGCGGGTGGAGAACAACGTGATTGAGGAGTGGGCCGTGGGTGCTTTGGATGGACGTGAGGGAGGAGACGCGTCTAATGGGCTGCTCCAATCTTGTACCAACTTATATAACAAGTTCCAACAAATGAGATGTGGTCTTCGGGGTGTTAATAACAAATTGAATCAAAAAAAATTTTAACTCACTATAGTCTCTAGTATTATTGTATATGACGATTATTATGGTTAAATTAATCCAGTATAAAATAAGTCCCCAATCCAAACATGTCTCATATATTAAGAGAAGCCTCCCCTTTGATTCGTATAAGTCACAATTTCAAGATGCCAAAAATGCCCTCACAATAAATTTAAAAAAAAAGTTATCCTCACACTTAAAAAGTATCCCAAAAAAGCTAACATATCATTTGGTCCCTTAACAACTCGACTCCGACACATTCTTCCACATTTTTCTAAACAATTAGACTACGACACTCTTCTGTGTTTTATGCCATGCACGCATCGCATGCGCTAAGATACTAGTAGTCGTTCTGTTTGTTTCTTGCATCCAAAATAAACATAAAAAAGTTGATTTGTGCTACAATGATAAATTTATGCTATTATCTTTGTTCTTTCTATTAACAAAAAAATTGAAGTTTAATTGGTGAGGTTCCATCTCAGGGAAAAAAAGATTGTTGGGTTCTCTTTAGCTTTGTTTTTATAATATGTCTGCTTAATCGTTTCAATAAAACAATTGCTCTCTTTTTCCATAGTGGTATTTTTAGTGGCGTAAGTTAAGAAATTTAAAATATATGTTAAAAAATCGTTTTGGAGTATTAATTTCAAAATAATGACCATTTTATGAATTTTTAAGGGGAAAAAAGTAAAGAATAATAGTAACTATACTACTCGCAAAGTAAAAAGTCTTTGTGTTTTCTTTCCAAACTGGTCCTTTCTATCCTCCTATTTTGACATAGTCCCTCAAATCATTTCTTCTACCTCAGGGACATACGTGCAAGATCTAATATGATTTGAGGTCCTGAATACAATATTAGTGATTTATGGGCCTAGGTCAAAATATTGAGAGAGGGACCATAATAAAATCAACCGAAGGTCTTCTTATTGGGTTCGGATCCTGACAATCCTTGAATAAGATCCAAACCCGAACCCTAAACCTCCGCCGTGCTATAAACGTGTCGCCCGTAGCCCTGCAGAATCAATCGAAGGCGGCGCCGGCGGCAAAAATGAGCATCACCGACGGAGCTCCGTACGACTCCGACGAAGAGCAAGAAGGGGAAGAGGTTTTCCTTGACGACGATGACGTCATCCAAGAAATCCCCGTCGACGACGAGGATCTCCCCGATCGAGACGATTCCGACGTCGAAGAAGAAGAAGAAGAAGTCGACGATTCCTTGTTTGTGTTCAGAAATCACACGGGTGATCTCTCGGTGATGATAAAAATTGGATTTTTTTTCCGAGGGGTTTTTGTTGATTTGGTGAATTTTGTTTGTTTTGGTGCAGATGAGGTTTATGCTGTAGCCTGCAGTCCGATCGATGAGGGTTTGGTCGCGACTGGAGGGAAAGATGATAGAGGGTTTTTGTGGAGGATTGGGAGTGAGACGCCATTGTTGGAGCTTCAAGGTCTGTTTTTTGTTCTTCCGTGTCATGGAGTTTTGATTTTTAGTCCATTCGTACGTAAAATGACTCAGTTTCATAGTTTATGGTTAGGGTACAGCCTCACCAAAGTAGGCTAAAGATACTGTTTTTAGAAGATGATAGGTTTTTGCAGAAGATCGTTACTGATTGTAAATGAGTCTAGGCATGGTGAATATCGAGCGACGGAAAAAACTTACATTAGTATGTATGTATATGTCCACATTCTAACAATTAAGTATGAGAATGGGAGGGAGAGTACATAATTGCATTCTCATGCAGATATGGAACCTTGATATGTACCACATACTGATGTGAAACCCAAAGAATATCTAATGAATATATACGTATGGTCACACTACATAAGATCTGTGAAAATATTTATGTGTTCTAAAATTTACGGAGATAAAAACCATGTAGATTGTATATTTCTAGTTTTTACATCTAATAATCTAGAAATGAACAGTCTGTGGCAATTTTAGAAGTTGATTATTTTGAGTTGCTTTTAAGTTGCTTGAATTATAGGAGAAATTTTCAAAGCACATGTTTTTTTAATCCACCTTGATTTGTTGACATGTAAATGATGAGGGTAAAAAGGTCATTTACTTCAAAATTAATAAGAGTCATTTGATCCTCGCTCTCTTCCTTGCATTATAAATTCACTCTTCATATGTAAAATGAAAATGTTTTTAAAGTTACATTCTTAAAAAATTAAAAATATAATGTTCAAAGTCATGT